TTTTAATTGGATTATTTGCCTTTTTATTATTGAGTTATAGGAGTTCTCCATTTACAGTGTTCTAGATATAAGTCCATTACCATAGATAGGATTTGCAAAATTTTTTCTCCCACTCTAGGTTTTTTTTTTTCATGTGAAAATAAAGTTGATTTTTTAGTGTTTATCTTGTACCTGTAACCTTGCTGAACTAACTTAGTTCTAGGAGATTTTCAGGGTAAATTTCTTTAGTATGTCTGTGTGAACCATCATGTCATCTGCAGACAGGGACCCTTCATTTATGTATGACTTACTTCCTTTTCTTGCCTTCTTGCATTAGCTGGAACTTCTAATAGTGAATTAGAGTGGTAAGAATGAACTTGTTTACCTTATTCCTGGTAGTGTGTGTGTGGGTGCATTATGCATTTGGTCTTTTATCACTGAATGTAATAATGTTTGCTGTAGATTGCAAATGCTCATTATCTACTTGAGAAAGTTCCTCGTTATTTCAGTATTTTCTGAGAGTTGTTCTTATGAGTAAGTAATGACTTTTTAAAAATCATTTTTCTGTGTCAATTGGTATGATTATGTGATTTTTTTTTTCCCCTTGGGTGGATTAGATTGGTGTTTGAGTGAACCAGCTTTGTATCCCTGATTAAATTCAGTTTTTAATATACTGTTGAATTCTTTTAATACTTTGTTGAGTATTTTTGTGTCTATCTTCAGGTAATGGTCTGTAGATATTTTTCTTTTGCATAGTCTTTTTCTGTTTTTTTTGTATCAGGATAATACAAACTTCATAAAATGGATAGAGAAGTGCTTCCAATTCAGCTTTTGTTTCCTAAGAGAGATTACGTAGAGTTGGCTTTAATTCTCCTTTAAACATTTGATAAAATTCTCTGATGAAGTGATCTGGGCCAGATTKTTTTTTTTGAAACTTTTAAATTATAAGTTCAGTTTCCTTAATAGTTAACGGCTATTCAAATTATCTATTTAATTTTGGGTAATTTGTGTTATGTTGTGCTTTTGAGGAGTTGGTCCACTAACAAAAAGCAGGACTTCTTGGTGGTAGGGGTGGGATTTTCAGCTCCTTTTTAGACCTCCACTGATTCAACCCTGTCTCATTACTGTCCTGTATGTGGCCTTWGCTGACACCACTGGGAGGGGATGACCTTGTTACTCCTGGGCAGGGGTGAAAGCTTAGGCCTCCTCTGAACCACTCCAGTGGGATGGATAGAAATACAGACCCTGCAGGTGGTTTCCACAGTCACTTTATGGCAGGGGCAGGGATTGGAGAAAATTGGAAGCGAAGTTAGGGCACCTTATAGCCAGGCGTGGGTGGCCACAGATTTTTTCTTTAACTTTTTTCTTGRACTGGAATTCAGTTTATTACCTGAAAGTTTTCTGTCTTGCTGTGTTGCTCTTTTCATAGTCCTTTGGCTTAAGAGAACCAAAGTGGTCTTTTGTCTTCCCCCATTTACCTTTCTGCATTCCTGGCTTCTTCAGCTCTTTGTGGTATATGACGTAAAAAGAAAACCAGGGAACCCACCGAAGTGTTGTTCCATGGGTCCCAAGTCCCTGGCTGGTCTGCCTTCTCTCTCCTTCAGTCTTCTCATGTTTGTTTTATGTATGATTGCCGCCACTCTTTTCATTGTAGTTACCTAGAGCAGTAGGAAAAGGTCCATCTGCTCGATCTTGTTGAAAGTGGAAATTGCCTTTTTATTGAAGAAACCATAGGGTAAAAGTTAAGACGCTTAATTGATTAGAAAGACACTAAGTTGTTTTGGGTTGGTTATTTTAAAATAACAATTTAACTGTGTTTCATTCTTCAGACAGYAATTCTGTTTCTCCAATCATTGTTCATTAAAATCAAACCCTCTTTAGTTTTTGATCTCTTAAGAGGCTTGACCATCCTGTGACCTAATTTATTTCTGCATGTAGATATAAATTCACAATAAATTAAATTTCTCGCTTAGTATGTGTTTGTGAAAGATRGGTTTTATGGAGAGAAGTAACTATTTTTTTTCTAGTGCTTGTCAGAGATCTTTTTTGTTTTGTTTTGTTTTGCAGTACTGGGAGTCAAACTCAGGACCTCAAAACTTTTGTGCTCTACCGCTGATCTATGAGTACCTCAGCCCCTTGTCAGAGATCTTGAAGCTGTGGATCTTTATCTAAAAGAAGAGAAAAGACATTATGCAGAGTGTTTAAGATCTGTATAAGGAAAACTTGAGAAAGTCTGAAATGAAACAAAAGGATTCCTAAGTACCTCCAGCAGAAACCTAAGTGCTACTTAGAACTGTTTTCCTGGTTCTCAGATTCTCTGGGATCTGTAGCTTTCATTGCTTTGGATTTATTTCATAGTTTTTTAAGTTGTAAAATATGGATGGCAACGTAAATTGTTCTTGTCCTTAGATGTGCAAAGGAATCTCATTGGTTGGAAGTACAGTTGGTTTCTTTCGCTCTAATTTGGAAGAAGCCAGTTTTGTATGTTTTAAGCTAATTTATTTCAGTATTCTCCACTAGCTATGTATGTGTTTGCTCTTCTGATTCTTTTTTGAACCAGTTGGAAAATCTTATTTGTTCCCCAGTTACTTAATAAATTAATCGAAGCCATTTATTTTTATGTTTGTATGRGAAACACATTATTTTGTTTGTTTGTTTTAGTTATCCTTTAACAGCTTGAACTCTGAATATGGTCTGACTGGGCTTGAATCGCAGCTGTATCACTTACTAGTCTTGTAGTGGGAGCCAGAAATTTTATTTTTTTTTAACTTAAGTGTATTTACTCACTATAAAAAGGGATTACAGTTCTATTTTCTTTCCATACTTTTGCAAGGATTAAAATAGATTTTGCAAGTAACATATTTCTCACAGAACCTCATACATCCTAAGAACTTTTAAAAAATTGTTATGCAAAGGATGTGGGCAACTACTTTTACCTTCTTGAAACTTAGCTTCTTAATCTTAAKAGAGAGAGAGAGAGAGAGAGAGAGAGAGAGAGAGAGWGAGWGAGTKTKTGTGTGTGTGTGAGGTTTTCACTTGGTTTTTAGTTCATAAGGTTTATTGACAGTAATCTGAAAGAATGAAGTAATCGACAATAGTTGCCTTAGGAGGGGAGGGCATTTTTATTATGTAGTAACCTTGCTACTCTGAGAAAAGACAGTGTTGGGTTTGAAATGGTAAACAGTTGGAACAGCAGTCTAGTAATTCAGTTCAGTAAATATGGATGAGAAGACCCTGCTCTCCTGGCTTTGCACTGGGAAGAAGCATGAAGCTGGAAATGTGGCTTAAGAGAATTACTACAATCTTTTGGCTTTAAAAATACGAAGAGAGGGTCTTAAAAGATGGAAGGCTTTAGAACTGCTGAGTACTTGGATAGATTTGGCATGCTCCTCAGGGAGTAGGAACCAGAAAGGGCTGAATTTTGTTCAACCTAGGAATAACTTCTTGAGAGATTCAAGGGCAGTTTTGGGTGAGCAGGGACTTGGGGTGCCTAAAAAAGAGGGAGGAATTGGAAAGGTAACTCAAAGATGCCTTGAATTGTCCTTTCCCTCTGACCCTCACTAATTAAAGATATTTTACTTGGAGTGTTTGGGGGGGGGGTGGAAGGAGAGGGTAATGGTGTGTAGGAGTGGAGTAGAACTGGTGAATTGGGAGCTGAGGATGTAGCTCAGTGGTAGAGTGCTTGACTAGCATTTGCAAGGCCCTTGGTTCAATCTCCAACACTATTGAAAAAAAAAAGTGTTGAATTGGTTGTGTTAGAAGAGGAAATTCTTAGAGCATGAGGAAGTTAGCAGTGATCCAAGGGAAGAGCTTGGCCTGCTGTGAATCTATGTGAATGGGGGTGGTTCAAGCTAAGGGMTTAACTACTACAATGCTAGAATTTTGAAAATAAGCCTAATGTAAAATCTACTCTGTAAATCCTAAAGATACATACCTTTATTTAAAACTGAGAAACATGCATATTGATACAAAGAAATTAGTACTACTGTAGGTAAAACCAACAGTCTGTCCACTAAAATTGTTAAGTTTTATRCAGAATAAAATGATCCTTATAATTTGGTGTTACAATCAGGATGTAGGAAGTGGGGAGAGTGTCTTTTATGCCTGTGTCTTTCTTTAGAAAAGTCTTTGGGTCCCTCTTGTCATCTTTGAAACTTAAAGAACCCTGTGTTCAGCTAGACTGAGGCATCTCTGATGTAAAAGGATTTGTTCATCCATTAGCCAGAAAAAGGACCAGGTCCTGGGATAAGTTCCAGTAATTGCCAGTAGCAGGGCTAGATAGCAGTTGGAAATATGTCCAACCAGAACAAAGAATTTTTTTAATAAGGAAAAATTGGAGAAGGACAGCATAAATTGTTTACATTGAAACTACCTTGGCTATAGATAAAGAGGAGTGTGATTATGCAAGAYGGTGAAGCTTTAGGATAGGAGGGTAGTCCATAGGAGAAGGTCTTCTAGATAGGTTGGGGATAACAGTCATTGAGTTTGTATGTAATGTGATTAAGTTAAGATTCTAACATATGAAATGAAAATATTACATAGCCTTTTTCTCTTCCTGTCTCCATCCTCCAACCCTCATAATTAAATTTAGGGCATCTCAGAATTTTTCTTTTATCTCCTTTATGAGTTAAGAGGAGTGTAGGGAAGGAAACTTCCCTTATCCATTCCTTCTCTGGTTGGAATCTAGGTTTAGATTTTGCCTTACTGTTCTTTCTAGGGGTGTTGCTGGCAGGGAGAAGCACTCCAATGAGTTAGCCCAAAATATTTTGGTTCCCTCCCTGGAGCCTATAAAGATGGGATACATATTGAACTCTCACTTCACTTTTTTGGCATTCCCATCCTGAACGCTAGGGACCAGCATTGTACCCCATCTTCCTGGGTTACTGGTTCATTGGTTCAGTCTATAGTACTTGAGTGTTTCAGTTCTATGGATCCATTTATAACCCACATACCATGAACCATCTGACTGGCTTAGTGTACTGACTATGCTTTCTGTTTTCTCCCATTTATTTTATTTATAGCTTCTGAAAAACCAAGTTGGGACTCCCAGAAGCTGGCAACAAAAGGATGAAATTATTTGTACATTTCAGAGAAAAATAAGCTATGATGCTTCTGAACCTATGAACTATTAGCAAGGCAGATTCTACCTTCCAAACATTTTCTAAAAGCAGGACTGTAAAAGCTTGGGGTAAGTCTGACATGGTTTCCATACTTGAGGTTTTTATTTTGCTTCATGTATCTGGACAAAAAGCTTTTTGAATTGACCATAGCTGATCCTGTTTATGTTGTATTCTATGCTTGCTCCATATCCATAACCTTTTCATTGAAAAGTAAATATTTATCTGTTAGATGTATGGTAAGTTCCTATTGATGGGATAGAAATACGCTGTTTTATTTTCAACAAAACCCAGCATTTCTGTTTGGCCCTTGATCATGTGATTCCTTTTGAGTCTTTAAGAATTAGATACCATTGGGCATGGTGGTAYGCACCTATAATCCCAGCAATTTGGGAGGCCTAGGCAGGAGGATCACAAGTTCAAGGTTAGCCTCAGCAACTTAGTCCCTAAGCACCTTAGAACTTGTCTTAAAATAAAAACTAAGACTGCTGGGGATGTGGCTCAGTGGTTAGGTACTCCTGGGTTCAATCTTTGGTGAGAGAGAGAGAGAGAGAGAGAGAGAGAGAGAGAGAGAGAGAGAAAGAATATGAATGAATCAATTTGTTTAAAATTCAAAATATTAAATGGGAAATGTTCTCAGTTCAACCCTTACATTTCCTGCTGCATGTATTTACTTGCTTTTATTGGATTGTTACAGGGCATGTACCAACTTAAGTGATACCATTAGGTGATATCCTCCTCTTTAGAGTTTTTTGGAGGAGGAGATAGGGATCTAATCTATATGGAGACTGATTCTGATCCTGTCCTCTCACATCTCCAAGCTCATCATTCCGTSTGACCAATATCCATCTGAAATTGCTGACTGTCAACCTTCAGCCTCAATGTGGCTAACACTAAATTCATTGTTAATCTCATATTCAGTGTCCTGCCAGGGTATGATTGTTTCTATTTAGTTGTCCAGGCTGAACCTTCATAGATAATTTTGACGCCTGCCCCCCAGCCTAGTTTTCTGTTGCTTCTGCATGTTTTACCCCCTTATCTTTGCACTCATATTATTTCAGTAATCTGCTACTTGGTTTCTAAAATAATAGCTTCCATTTATTGTGTATGTGATTATCATATTGTTTACTCCCTTTATAGCCATCACTGTCTTGTTTCTTGTGTCTTAGGTTAGGTTTTGGTCTCTCTTGCTCTACTGCAAAAAAGTAAAAGAAAAAGAAGCAAAGCAAAAAAAAAAAAAAAAAAAAAGAGCCTGAAGAGATGGGACAGAATGAAAGACCTCACACCCAGATTGGCTGGGTTTTAAGAAGTAATCTTTTTTTTTTCCTTCCCCTTGAAGGGGAAAAAACTTTTTTCACTGGTACATTTAAAGCTCCCCAGCTATGGGGAGGTACCAGTTCTGGACAAGTGCCACTGTAACACAGAAATGCTCAGAGAAACTGAACTTTTCAACTCTGGAAGGTGGAAATTTACTGTTGGTCACTGCTGGGTCTTACTGGTATTTCAAAGGAATATTGGGTGCTGCAAATAGGAACTAAACGGGTAAACTTATTAAACTCATTAAACCTGTGATCAGTGATGTTTTTCTGTCATTTTAAGAGACTAAATATGGGCTGGGAGGGTAGTGGTCAAAATACTTGTACAATTTTAAAATGTAACAATTAAATTTGAGCTGGTTTCCAAAAAAAACAAAAACAAAAACAAAAGAATATATCTGATCTTTGACCCTGGTCCCTAGTAGTGAGTTTCAGAAACCCTTGGAATTTTCCGAGTACATAATTAGTCTATTTTAACCACACATGCATTTATGCTAATGAGGTGATTTTGGGTGGGCTTTTAAAGATAGTTTGCGTGAACAGAGTGTCCATATCAGAAAGATCAAATTAAACAGAGCTTTCAACCCTACCTCCTAATCTCTGAGGAGGGTGGAGGGACTGGATCTTGATTCCTGTCATGTGGCCAGTGATCATACCAATCATGTTTAAGTTATGAAACCCAACATAAACAGCCTGCAACAGTGGTGAATTTATTAATGTGCTAGGCAGTTGTTACCTRGAACATGGAAGTTTTTGTCCCTCCTCCTCTCTCCCCTACACCTTTGCCCCAATGGTTGTTGCTRAGTTGTATCCTTTATAATAAAACTGTGTCTAAGTATAGTGCTTTTACTGGTTTCTATCAGTTAATATAGCAAATTATTGAACCTGAAGAAAGATTTTTGGGAAACGTGAATTTGCAGCCAAGGCAGACATAAGTGTAGAGAGTGTAGAAACATCTGAATTAAGGGCAGTTTTGATAGAGACCTTGCTCTTTAACTTGTGGGATTTGATTCTATTTCTAGGTGAGTATCAGAATTGAATTGTAGGACACCTAGTTGGTGTTGAATTGGTGTCAGAGTGCAATGTGTTTACCCTCTTCCAGGCATTGTGGATAGTGCTGCATTYGTTATTTCACATAATACTACAGTGAAGTAAGGTCTGGTTTATCAATCTTAATGTATAGTTAGGGAAAATTGGCCCAGGATTACAGAACTAGGAAGTGTTGCAGAACTCTGTGTATTCTGATGTTAAAGCCCTTTTCTTAACCCTTTATGYTGAGCCAGCTACCTTTTTTTGCTGTAGATGTTACTACCCTTCTCTAATCTGGCAATTATAGCCTACTTTTTCTAAATTAAACTTTTATTTCCCCCTTTTTGTGCTTAGAAACTTTCAGTTTTTCTCTCTCATTGTAGGATAAAACTCAAACTCCTTAGATCACATTCAAGGCCCACCAAAGTCCTGTAGGCCTAAACTAGTAATACTGCTCTAGTCTTTTGGATAATTTTCTTCATTTGTATTTCCAGGAAATTATGGTGGAGATGAACATGTGTGTTCCAATTCCTTGTAAATTATCAGGAAAAGAATGTCACTATACATATAGAATATGCAAATAAAGTGAGTAATTCAGTTATTTAAATGTCTATAGAGTTCAAAAGAGGAACATCTTCATGTAGCAGATTTCAGGTGTATTTGAGGTTGGCTTTCAAAGAAATGGTAGTGTCACCTAAGAAGAGATGTTAATGGAAGAGGATTCGAGGAGTTCCTGGAGAAGGGGAATCTCTACTTAGGACAAATGTGTCCCTTGGCATATGTGATGGGATAGAATTTTAGCATGCACTAGTAGAGGCAGAGATTTATTTAGGAAAGCAAGGAATACACATTCAAGGGGGATTGTGTGCCATCTCACTTGGAATTTTCAGGCTCTTTTGAGGAAACTTGATGAAGGATGGTCATGGAGAAGTTTATGAAAATGTTATTGTTTTCAGAAACCTCAGGTTGACATGATCTCCAGTATCTGATCAGTAGATAATATTGGAAAGTTCTTTAAATTATAGCTTTCTTAAAAATGTCATATYTCTCTTGATCTATTTATTGGTGGGCTAATTAACATTGCAGAGGTAATTTTTATAAATGGTGCATTTAGGGTAACACTTAAGAATTACAGATTTCCCAGAAATTTGGGAGTGACATACCTGGGAAAGAGACTGGCTTGGGGTATGACAGGCCTGGAGAAGTATGCAGAACTTAAAGTTATATTTCTCTGTCCTTCTTTTGTGTCTTATTTCTACCTATCTCTTTATTTCTTCTATTTTATCTCTAGGATTTTGAGAATTGTAGTCAGGGGGAGAATCCTTCTGGTCAGAAAGAGCATGAATGAAAAGGAATGGAGAGGATTATTCGCCATGTACTAAAAGGGTAGTGTCCATGGCACTGAATATCTGGAAGGACTCTTTCCTGGAGCTAGGGTCTAGTCTACTCCCTCCCTCCAGACAGGTTTTAAAAAGCTGTTACATATGGTTTTCACTTATTGAATTTATGCTAACTCTTCGTTTGAAATGAACGAACAGCTATTTTTAGGCCAAYGTAGGTGGTCATGTTGGTTAATTCACATTTTACTTAAAAGCAAGCTACAAATATGATTGATTCATGTTTTTATGTGTTGCATAAGCTGACCAAAGAAAATTTTAAATTGTAAAAGTTCAAAAATAATTTTAGTTTTTTTTCTGCTGCATTCATGGGAGATTTTATTTTATTTATTTTTATTTTTAATTAAAAA